CTTATATTAATTTTTGCTCCAAAAAAAGCATTAGGGCTTATTTTCAGGGGATTTTTTTCATGTACAATCATCTATATTTATTCAAATACAGTCATGTCATCTTCTGGTTGTTGCGCAATGATGGAGAGCAGGGTTTCACTTAAGTACAGTGGTGCCCCACATAGCGAGGGATAATCCATTCCGGATTAACCCTCGCTATGTGAAAACATCGCTAACTGGAACGTAAAAACCCATTGGAATGCATTAAACATCGTTTAATGTGTTCCAATGGGCCCTAAACTTACTGTTCAGCGAAGTTTCCTCCATAGCGGCAGCCATTTTCGCGCCCTCGGTAAGCGAGGGGAGGGCACGAATACACTGCGCGCGGCCATTTCGGGCGTCCAGCGGCCATTTTAGAACTGCTGAACAGCTGATCTGCGGGCATCACGAAGCGAAGATCAGTAAGCGAAACACTTACCGATCGTCACTATGCGAGTTTTGCCCATTGGAACGATTGGTATGCCTCCGCATTAGCGATCCTGAAAAAGGGATCTCTATGCAGATTCGTCTTTATACGGTGCGCTCGTTAAGCGAGGCACCACTGTAGGGGTTATTTTTGGGGTAGGGCTTATATTACGAGCATCCTGAAAAATCATACTATGTCTTATTTTCAGGTTAGGTCTTATTTTGGGGGAAACAGCGTAGGTGTCTGTCAGATGGAACTCCCAGAATGGAGAATCATAGGCTCTGTAGTCCCCCTCCCCCTATATGCCTATATGATGGACGTCCCTGACCTGCAATGTTGCCACTCAGGGGGTTGCTGGCTGCTCCATTCTTGCTGTTGCTCATGCAGGGCTGTTCCCCCCTTTCCAGCATCAGGACTAGGGTTGGGCGAGCAAGAAGGTAATCTGCAAAAAACAAAGAGAGAAACGAAGCAAAAATCATTAGGCAACTGGCGGTGATCGTTAGGGATGTGCACGGGTTCTCCGATCTGGTTTGGAGATCGATTCAGGGTTTCCCATTGAATCCTGATTCATTCCAGAGATACCTATCCCATGGATCTGAATGAATCAGTAAGCTTTCCGTTGACGTCCACGGAAAACCGAAAAGAAGCTGTAACTTTTTGTTTTGTTTTGTTACGGAGGTACGTGAAATTTGGCAATATAGTATACCCTAAAGAAAGGAGTAAACCCACCCCATTTTAGACACTTAAGTTCAGGGGTTTGCAAACCCAGTGCAATTTGATTTTCCAAAATTCAAACAAAAAGGCTGAAATAACTTGTGTCTCATTTTGATTTGCACTCCAGACATAAATCTATTGGAAAATTCACATTGTTTTCCTCTGGAACCAAATCTAGGCATTCCACTTTGATCTGGAAGACACAAAAGTCAGTCTAAATCAGGCTACTTGGTTAGCAATTTGGAACTACTGTACAGGCTTAATATATGATGGAAAGATAGACTTCAAAAAGAGGCTTTATGGAGTTAAGTATACCTTACAAACATTTATTTGTGTGGTTTAAGTCCTGCTAAGAAAAAGTACTATTCTGCAGCTGAAGGAACATCTTTATGTTCTTTACATTTGTCTTTTAATATTTAGCTTATTGTGCTTTAATTGTGTGAATTTTAATGTTGTGAGCCGCTCCTGTCCCTTTGTTTGGAGAAATGTGGCATACAAATAAAGCTAACAATAATAACACAACTCAAACCCCATCAATAGACTAATTTTAGGCAGCACCCATACTGGTCAGGTAAGAGGGGCTGTCTGAGAGCTCTAGTCCAAAAATTATAATTTTTTGAAGCTTAGATCCCTGTTACATATTAATTTTATCCAAACATCTGGATAGTCTTACATATTTGAACGTTGACGCCTTATTTGGTATCTACTCATTATTACTCGATTCGTTATGCTGTGACTTGCACTTTAACAATATTTTTGAGCAAAGATTCAGCAACAGGAAAAAATATCTTATTTTTATATCTGTTAATACTTTAGGTTTTTTAAAGAACTGAAATAGAGAACATTGAACTCTGATCTGCCACATAAAAGTTCTGCTAACACCCCACCCAAGAAAAAACAGGCTTGGAAACAGTAACTTCTGTACATGATCACCTATGACGAGCGAGAAATTTGGCCAGGTAACCAATTAGAGTAGCTTTATGAAATTTGACAGTTTTTTTCAGTCACAAGCAACCACTGTAGGACTCTACAAATATGCAGGCTACCCATTTTTATGGGCCAGTCTATCCGTTGAGGTCCTTGATTTATCAGGGGCGGGGGCGGGCGGGGGCACAATGGCATGATAAAAAAATGTAGTCCTGCATTAAAAATCGTTACTTCCATAGTACAAGTCCCCTCACAGATTTTCATCTCCGGAAAGGCCCTGGAATCCAATTAGGGCTGGATTCTCTATTGCTTGACTTGGCGTTCGGTGTCGAGTTGCCATGGTAACTTGCTCGGAATAAATACAGGCCAGAGAAGAGAAGCTGAGAGAGATGCTGCAGGAAGTCAAGTCCAGGGTAGGATGATGGTCCAAGAAAAAGGCGAAGGGAAAAGGGGGGGTGAATAGAAGTCATTTAGAAAGAAGGGAAGGTGCAGAAAAAACATCCTAAGACCCATGAGTTTGGTTCTTCTACCCAAACTCAACCCAACATCTGCATTGGAGGCCAGATGTAGAACAGGAAATGTATCAAGCCAGAAACAGATGGAAGCTGCTTCGGACATTGTCCTTCTTCCATGTCATCCCATGAAAGGCCTTTTTGGTTCAATCCAGGGATGAACAGGAAGTGGCTTTCCAGATGTTTGATGGAAACTCTTGGCCTTCCTTGACCATTGGCTATACTCTCATGGTGGCACATCTTGGTGGAGCCGAGGGCTGTCCCTCTAGGACAGCAGCTTTCCCCCAAGAACCCTGCTTTATCAGACTACGTCTCCCATCAGTACACTGGAGACGATGGGAGATGTAGTCCAAGGCAGCTGGAAAAGCAATGGGTCACAGGTGAAAAAGAGATGCAGTAAGGATATATATACAGTATTTGTAATCTTATTGTCCTTAATGCTATTGCATTTTCATGCGTCATGTTTACTATGATTCATTTTCTGATTTTTTAAAAAATTGTTGCTTATATGTTATTATTACATACTTTTTACGTTGGTCTGTGAGGTGCCCAGAATAGTAGAAGTAGGTTACATCACTGCTACTAGTTGGGCAGGATAAAAATGTGAATAAATAAATCAGCCAGCCAGCCAGCCAGCCACTGGAAGGGACAGAACATGGAGTGCACTCCAGACATAAATCTGATGGTCGAGGTTTAGGCATCTGGCTGTGGAGTCAGAGGCTGGGAGTTCGATTCCCCAGTGGGTCTCCTCGTCAGCGGCTGGACTTGGTGATCAACAAGGTCCCTTTCCAACTCTGCAATTCTAAGATTATTAGAGTATTTAAGTGATGTCCACTGCAGAAGAGTTTTTTTTCTCTTTGGCAGAAAGAATGCAGAAATTTAGTTCAGAGCTGTCAAACGTCTGTCCCTGGATAATTCATGGCACTCTACTGAAGGGGGTCAAATTAATATATATAATATATATCTTAGATAGCCATCTTGCTTTGTATAACTTGCCTTGCAAGAGACAGGCAAAAAGCCAGGAAATATTCTTGGCACACTTCACTACCTAAATGTGCCAAAGCCCCTTAATCCGAATTAAGTTGCTTCCGAGCTACTCTGTTTCTTGAGATCAGGAACCCTGCCCTTCAACTTGCATTTCAGAGGGAGGTTTTGGTCTCCTTGGGCCTCCAAGGGTTAGCAGGCCAGACATTCGTATCAGACAATAATGAGTCAATCGGTAGGCCTCCAGTTGCTGCTGGACTGCAACCCCCATCATCCCCTATCACCTGTCATGCTTGCTATGCCTGATGGGAGGTGCAGTTTCAATGCCAGCTGCCCACCCCCCCGACCGACAATAATAATCATAAGTCTGCCAGGTTGAAGACCCATGACTATTGATTTAG